AACGCCACCACGTGTCCTCGAATGCAAACTACCGACATTATCGATCTAACCAAGGGAGGGTTAATCAAATCATTAACCTAATATATGCTTTAATTTAAATTTTTTGAAAAAAAAATTAATAACGGACCACATATTATATCTGTAAAATATTTTATGGTCAACTATGGAGATGTGGATGGGCTTTTCCATGCACAAGCAAACCTTACATTTGTGACATGTAATTACCTTTGCTGTTATCAAGTATGTAAGCATATCTATTAAATCGATCTGACGAGCGATGATGACCTATTGCATGAAGTTTTCCCGACGAAGTCCCTGGGGTGACATTGCATCCACATGTATGAAAAATTGAGGATCAATGTATCTGACGTCTCAAAGCCTGTTTTTTAAAATTAAAAATGATAGAAAACATGCACGCATGTATGCCATCATGATACACGTAAATTTCTTAAGCTTATCTATAGTATTTGTTTTTAAAGAAAATGATCGAGATGTTTCTGGACGATCAACAAGGCACCACGATTAAATAAGATTTGAGATCTTTAGCAAATCCTCTTAATGGTAATGTTTGAATTAATATACTTTGGTCATGTTAGTTACCGTTGTAAATAGGACGAGATAGATAGTAACTTTTTTGAGTATGCCTTGATCAAAGTTTGGCCAGCACTTGATTTGAATGCATTCGACTCAAGCTCAAACTCGACTCGAGTTGTTAACAAGCCAAAATGAGTTATTTGATATTCGATTTGAAAAGCTCGCAAGCAACTTAAAAAATAATATATTAAAATTTTAAATTATTATTAATATTAATATTATTTATATATTTTTTAAATACAATATAAGGATTTCATGTACTTAAAGTTCAGGTTCAAGCTTCAACTGAGCTAAGTATTAGAATGCTTTGAGTTCAACCATTTTAAGTTTGAGTTGAGCTTTAATTTTGATTTTATGTTCAAGTAGAGTTTAATAATTTTAATTTTACGAGTTATCAAGTTTAATCATGCTCAATTTTACATTTTTCAAGTCAAACCAAGTTTAATAATATTCAAATTCGACTCATCTCATTTACATCCTCATCTTATTTATCCTAGTTTCAGTGCTGATCCTAAAGTGGAGTTTATGCTTTTGCCCTAGTAATTTACTTTTAGAGTAACATTTGTCAAAATAAAGCAGGCAAAACTTTCGAGATAATGTTCTGAAAGAAATTAATTCACGAGCTAATACACTCCCAAGATTAATTGCTCAAATAGAGTGAAATCCACAGTGTTGGCCGTAGGTCGTCATGCCTTCCGGGCGACCTTGTAGGTCGCCATGCACTTCGGGCGGCCTTGTAGGTCGCCATGCACTCCGGGCGACCTTGTAGGTCGCCATACACTCTGGGCGACCTTGTAGATCGCCATGCACTCCGGGCGACCTACCCTTGCTCAAACAGAGAGAATGAACGTGTTGCATGGCACATGCACGTCCCAACACATAGGTCGCCATGCCCTCGACCTTGTAGGTCGCCATGCACTCCGGGCGACCTTGTAGGTCGCCATGCACTCCGGGTGACCTACCCTCGCTCGGTTGCCCTCGCATAGCTCGTTCGGATGGCCTCAGATGCTCTCGGATGGCCTCAGATGCTCTCGGATAGCCTCGGTCGGATGGCCTCGGATGCCCAGCGTGTTGGGACGTGCATAGCACATGCTATCTCTTGTAGCTCGCCGGGAAGACATGGCGACCTAGTAGGTCGCCCGGAAGGCATGGCGACCTACGGCCAACACTGTGGATTTCACCTTATTTAAGCAATTAATCTTGGGAATGCTTTATCTCGTGAATTAATTTTTTCCAGAACATTATCTCGAAAGTTTTGCCAAATTAAGCATAATGGAGCCGTAGTACTCTAAAAAAACACTAAAAAAAGAAAAAGAGGGAAACAGGGATGGTTGACTTTGTAGTTGGAAGTAGACGGGACACGTGGTTGCTGCCTGCTACGCCGACGTGCTCAATATTTACTGGTTTTTACAAAGAAGGGTCCTACAAGCAGTGGAACTTGGCTTGAACCATTAAAAATAAAACTCATGGTAAATATACACGGCAACGTCATCTTGTAAGATATCCATGGTGCATGCATGGCATATACTTTATACAATGGTTTTTTCATATATACTAATATATTTGTTGATCTACCTACCGTATATGTATAATTACTTTATATTCATGTTGGTATTATTTATACATCAAATAAGGGAATAATACAAAGAGAGGAAGGCACGTGTGAGGAGGCCGCCACTGAATCCCACTGACTTCAACGTTGCTAACTCTGTTGTTTCCAACTATATGTGTGTGTGTGTATATATATATATGGAGGTCATGGTTCCATTACGATCCATTCATCCACTCATATTAATTTTACAAGGGAAATCAAATAATCAATGGGAAGAACTCCTTGCTGTGACAAAAATGGGCTCAAGAAAGGTCCCTGGACTCCCGAGGAAGATCTTAAGCTAACAAATTATATCCAGATTCATGGCCCTGGAAACTGGCGTACCCTTCCCAAGAATGCAGGTATCAAGTTATTATTCCTCATGTATTCATGGTTTTAAATTGTTTTCTCGGGCTCCGATGATGAATTTGTTCCAACTTTTTATAGGGCTCCAGAGATGTGGAAAGAGTTGTCGTATGAGATGGACAAACTATCTTAGACCTGATATCAAGAGGGGAAGGTTTTCGTTTGAAGAAGAAGAAATCATAATTCAACTACACAGTCTATTAGGAAACAAGTAGGGCTAAGGTTCCATTGCATGCAGTCTTTTCGCTTTTGTGTACTTGGTCTTGGAACTTACAGGGTTTCCTTTTGTTTTGTTTTCGATGTCCAGATGGTCGGCTATTGCCGCTCGCTTGCCGGGGAGGACCTACAATGAAATCAAGAATTACTGGAACACTCACGTAAGGAAAAGGCTTCTAAGGAGCGGTATCGATCCCGTTACGCACGCTCCTCGCCTCGATGTTCTTGACCTTTCCTCGATTCTCAACTCGGCCTTATGCAACCGATCTATTCTAAACCCTCAATTGCTAAGCCTAGTTAACATCTTATTATTGTTGAAGCAAGAAAACCCAAAAATATTATCACAATATATTCACAAAAACCAGCTTTATAACTCCCACCTAAATGCTTCAACAGTCTCGGCGTCTGCTGCTGTTCCTAGTAGTTCCGTGTTAAGCCAAATGGAAACCATGCAAGCCAATGGAGAAGAGTTTTGTGATATTTACAAACTTTGGCTACCCGAATTCCCAAGAAAATTTGCAGACGAATTATGTGCAGTGTGCACCAAATCCAACGATTCCTCTAGCTTGTGTCTGAAAACTCCTACTTCCAATCGGTTGAAGGTAGCTTTGGTTCTGTGAGGTCAACTCCTTTGAATTCATCTTCCACAATTATCAACAACAGCAGTGCAGATGATGAGAGGGAAAGCTTCAACAGCTTGCTCAAGTTTGAAATTCTAGAGAGTTTGAATATCGATGATTTTATGTGAATGTGAATGTACACATTTGTTGTTTTATAGCTTTAATCCTCATTAGGGTCCTTAACGAATTCAACAGCTCGTGATCAACTCATTCAATTAAAACTCGGTAAACGTTCGACTCGAACTCAACTTAAGACTTTAACGAGTTGAGCCGAGTAAAATCTAACTTGACTCGATAAGTTCGCGAGCAACTCGTTAATAATTTTAAATATATTTATAGTAATTACTTCAAAATTATTTCATTAAAAAAATCTAAATAATAATTATTAATTTATTAAAATAATAAAAATTAATAAGTTAACTAATCTATTGTTTTTTTAATAAATAATAAAATATTATTAATTAATAATATTATTTTAATAAAAAAACCAACCCTAGTATCCTCATATAGTATTAGTAAATTTTATTTTTAGTTAAAAAAATAAGTAAATTTTTTAGTAAGATTAATGAGCAATGAGTTGAGCTTAAAGAGCAATTAGTAGAGTCGAGTCGAGTAGCAAATTTTTTAATGAGTTGAGCACAATTTTAACGAGCAACGAGTCAAGTTGAGCAACAAAATTTTTTAACGAGCACAAGTCAAACACTCCCCAACTCACGATTGACTTGCTCGATAAGCACATTTAATCCTTAGACTGAATGCACATTACATCTCGTGGATCCAACTCAATATGCTCAACCGGCTTTGAGTCAAGCTATGGAAACGTTTTTTTTATTTAACTAAGGTGATTATAAAGTAGTATATATTTTAAGTACTTTTAATTATTTGATAATAAACACTCAATCACCTCGCGGTCATTGATGCTTGAACTAAAAACAACAAAAATTCATTTAACTCCTTTAACCACATAAAAAAATTGATTTGTGCAACAGTTATAAAAAGATATGATATCCAATCCCATTTTAAAAAATCATGTTTTCTAGGTAGAAAGTTTTGATACAAAATAAAATATTTAACTTTTAATTAAAATTCTTCCATATTGTGGGTTCGAATCTTGACGATTGTGAATGGAGTAAACTGTGTTGAAAATGTCGCACTTGTCTCTATAATATCCGATCCGGATTAATCGATCAATAGATCGGATACCGACGGTTATAAAAAAATTCTCCCATACCGCAATTAATACATAAAATGGTCAAACTGAAATTAATTAATACTCTCAGTAGAGGAATGAGAGTAAGAGGAGGCGACGGCAAAAGAATAAAGTTAAATACACAATAAAATTGTTCATATTTAAATAAAGTATAAAAATAACTTTTAAATATTTAAACAACACATTCTGCACTTGATCTTAGCCAAAAGGCCGATAAATGTATAATATTTTAAACACTCGTAAGATCAATAAAAGAATTCAAAATCAACTTTAAAAATGTTGTAAGGAATATCAACTATAAATCTCGAATATAAATAGTAAAACAAAAACAAAAGATTAAATCTGTATATCTCCCTAACCAGAAAATGAGCCCGTTAAAAACATATGCTGCTATTTAATCAGATTAATCCCTAAAACCAGCTTAGAAGCAAGTTTCACCATCCCTTGCCTATGAGCCACAACCAGTCCAGAGTAACCCCTGCGAAGATGCCTCCCACCAGAAACAGAACAAGCAAATTCCCCAATGCATTCTGCTCAGGTCCCTATAAAATGAAAAAGAAGAATCATTACTATTTTATTTCGCTACAGGTTTAAAGAAACTGAAGTATACAGTGTTGTAACAAACCTTGTAGCCCTTGGGTGCAGAGGTAAGGACACAGACAGTGAGGTAACCATTAGATAAGTCTAAGAAGCTCGTTAGCATGATCATCCAGCCTTGGTCCCCGTATTTAGCCGTGAAATAAAATGCCGGGACGAGTAATACACGAGAAAGTATCACGGTCGTGAGAGCTTTCCTCGATTGGAGCTTCAACGGTTTTATGAGAGGAATGTATCTCCCAATAAGATCCCATACATTGTACATTGCTATCAGAGCAAGCGCATACCTGAAACGTTGATGATAAATCCAGTGTAACTTATAACTACATACACACACCTAGAACGAATGACAGCCTTTTCAAGACAAGAACATACCAGGCGCCTAAACTGTGTTTTCCGGTATCTTCGGACAAGAATCCAGGAAAAATGGATAGTGTCAGCGCATATATCAGGAACATGTCGAGTGCATAATCGATATTCTGAATTAGTAACTCCTTAGTGCTCAACCTTTCCAGCTTCTTGGTGTCTGTCTCATCCTGCATAAGACATTGATTCTTCTTACATACAGACATGAAAAATACTAGGACATTTTTTATGTATGACACTGGGCAGAATGACTTACATCTTCAGGCAATGCTTGGATGCCACCAGCAGCCAGGTCGGCTGTAACAGTTTTAGATCCTTCAGAGGCTGCCTTCGAGCGATAGTACTTCACAATGGGTAGTTTTGGAAATACATACGCGTAGAGAAGAACACATACAAGCTCAAAAAACGCAGAGATGGCAAAGAATAGTACTGCACAGAGGTTTAGTTGCCACAGGGAGAAAGAAATTATTACTCAAATAAACCAAAATTGTGAAGCTTAATTCAAGTTTCTGATCTTTAGACTAATTAACAAGAAAGAAGGATTCTTTTCTTTTACGATATGGAATTAAGTACAAGGCGATTAAAACTTACTGGCTCCCTTGCGAAAACCACCCTGCGAATTCTCGAATGCTGCTTTTGTTATTAACCTCAAAGCAGAGGTTAGAGCTCCTGACGCGGCCAAACCAGCAACGTATGACTGAGGAATTAAGGACATATAACCAATGGAAACATAAAGTTCAGTCATCATAAAATTCAGCCAAAAGAGAGTTCAATTACATGGAAAAATGTTGTTTGTACTGACTTGAAGAAATTCAGGTTTCATATAGGACAGATCTCCAACCATTCCACCTTGCACATGAGCATCTGCAACCCCAAAAGCTCCACTGATCACACAAATTCCTATGAAAGTTCCGAGTCCTCCTCTACCAGAGGTAGCTAAATCCAACTATAAATAAAACATAGAGGAGAGAAATAATAAGTTTCAGCTAATAAATCCAGAACATATGAAAGATTTTGAAAACACAAGCAGGCTTCAATTGAAATCCTCAATGTAAAAGTATCATGTAGCAATAAGTCACAAGGGAACTTACAACTAAAACCGCAAGAGAACTTAAGAAAAACAATATATATCCAAACAAATTCCTTCTTCTAGTGTTGATTTTCGCCTCGAAGTAAGCCAGTATTGCAAGTGTTCCGAGTGCAAATGGCTGATAAACAAGAGTAAGGACCCTAGATGGGTGGTAATGCTGCATATGAGCAAAGAAACTCGGTTACATGACCATAACATTCATAATTATCACTATTGCATATTTCAAGCTAAAAAAGGAAAGAAACTAAGGAGAGTGGAAGCACTCAGAAAGATAAAGTAACATTGTTTGTAAAAATATAGAATTTGACAGAAGGAAAGAAGAAATCCCACAATTCGAAAAGTTAGCTGCAGCACTAAATTTGGTAACAAATTTTGCAAGCAGATTGACATAGTGGCAGTGCTTAATGAAAGCAAAACATAGTTTCCTAGCTTTCTATTTCAAATGTATTCTAAATGACCCAGGTGCAGATTTATATATTGAATGGAAGCCAGAAGACATTAACATTGTCTCATCAACATGGTTCTCAAACAACATGATCTATGTCAATGATTTATTCATGAACTAGAATGTTGAACTGTATATTTGACTACTTCACAAAAGAACACAGATTGACAACAAAATCTGTTCAAGACACAGGCTTAAGAAGCTCATTTATTGCAGATTGAAACAAAATCAGCTGCAAATTGTTCTAGGTGAGCATTTCAATAACCATCAGACACCGTTACAATACCACAACCATGAGGAATAATTTGAAAAGTGAGCAAAAACATGTAAAAAATTTGGATTGTGAAATTACCGGAAACAAATAAGAATAGTAATCTTGTATTGTCAGCATACTATTCCAGGAAAAGAGGCAGCCATTCCCAAGCAGCCAACACACAACTATCGCCATGTTCTTCCCCTACATGACAGAAAAAAATATATATTCATCCTGCAAATTGTCTTAGTTAAAAACTCAGGAGGAATCAGAAAGTTGAATGATAAACCTCAAGCCTTTGAGAAGCCTCATCAGGGAACACCATAGTTGCTCTCTATTAAATGCCTCGTACAGCGACTTGGAATCAAAGAAGCTTATTATCCAACAAACGGTGGTAGGATTTAATGCTGTCAACAAAATCATATATAAAAAAACGTCAAGCCTTTAATGTATTTAATGCTCAGACTGGGATTTTACAAAGCAAAAATATATAATTATTCAAATCAGAAGCACCCATGATCAAATTCACTCATAATTGAAGAATACAATACATAACTAAAAGCTACGTTTAGAAAAATCCAACCTTTGCAGGAAAAATGGAGAATTAAGGGCAAGAACACATAAACAACATTGAATCGAGAAGGAATACGAAAACTAGAAGGCGGAGACAGAAGATGAAGAGACTGAACTTGCTTATTGTAGGAGATTCTTTTCAGGGTCAGAAGAGATTCTTTTCACAGGTTAAACTGTTGGTATGAATAAAATATCAACTTCTGATTATGTCACAAGGAGAAAAACAAAAGCAGTATTTTTCTTCTTAATTACTGAGTGGAAGTGATGACAAATTCACTTGGTTGAGATATTATATATGCTGCGTTGAATCTGTAGAGTTGTAGGTGATTAGTGTTTTTGCTATATTCAACCACCTTGTTCGGACACTTTTTGTTGCATTGCATATGCATTGACCGAATACTATTAAACACCCAAAACAATACATATTTATATTTAATTCTTCCTCTATGATTAAATTGATGTGGACTACAACATTAATTGAATTAATTTGAAATACACATTAAGTAGGAATGATACCCGATTAAATATTTATAATTTTTTAAATTATTTAATATCATTTAAATAATACTATCTAAATTTAATTTCATTATTATTATTGATTAGATATTTAAATTTCAAAATTTTAAGTTGTATGTTAAATATATGAATCCTAGTCCATGTCAAATTTTAGATCATCAATACTTAAATCCTCTTAAAAGAATATATTCTATATTTTAAATTCAAATATAAATTTAAATATTTGATTACACAATTTGTAAAAATATAAGTTATATAAATTAGATAATGAATATATAGATTACAATTTGTAAAAAAGATATACTCATTTCGCTGTTTCCATATTTGCCAAATAGCAGCTGGAAATAAAGAAGACAGAGAGATCCCACCAGCATTCGCATGGTCGACTTCATAGAGATTGGTGAGTATCCAGTGGCGAAGGTCTCCATTAAAAAGAATGTTGTGAACCGAGGATGGGATGAACCAGTCCCATACCATACGAGCATATGGACAATCTCTTAGCACGTGTAAAATTGTTTTGGAAGGGCAGTTACAAACCGGGCAAGAAGGATTATTAGTGAGCATGCGTTTGCTTCGCTCAAAATTGGTCTCTAAATTTTTTAATTAATTTCTTGTTATAGAATTGGTGATTTCTTTCGATAGTGACATTTTTAGTATAAATCTCATTATTTTTTTAGTTTGATAATATTTATATCATCTTCAATCGATTAATATTTAAAGTATTAATTTTTACAACCTGATATTATTGCTCTAAAGTAAACACATATTAATATTCGAAAGGGTAAATTATGCGTTTAGCACCTGAACTATATGTTTTAGTATATAAACTTTTAATTTTTTCAAAATCATTCCTAACGTTTAGTTTTTGTTTCATTTTATTACATCGTCATTAAAAATTTATTGTGTTTAGTAAGTACGCTATTAGTTTTGGTCTATTTTAGTACCTAAACTTTCAATTTTTTTCAAAATTTAATGTTAAGTTATTAACAGGGTACTAAATAAAACAAAAACTAAAAATTAGATATGATTTTTGAAAAAAAATGAAAGTTTAGGAACTAAAACGTATCAAAATTGATAGTTTAAATACTAAATGCGTAATTTATCCTATTCTAAAATATTAATTTGATTCTCAGAAATGTGGGTTTTAGTCTCTCCCCATTCTCCCCAAGTTTTTTCATCGCTCAGATTTACAAGAAACGAGGATTTAATTCAAGATTTAGTATTTTAAAGTTTTTGTTATGGTGTTTTCTTTTTATGTATGAAGGGGTCATTTTGTTTGGGATCCTCAACATTTTGACTTGTCTTAAAAATGAGAGGAAGCTCAGGAGACCATCAGAGACCAGGTAACACGAGAGATCATCGTCTTCGGATGCGAGGAAGTGTCGGGGATCAACGGAGAAGATCGGGAGTTGTAGTGTATTGGTAATGCTCAATCCCACATAGTATTGGAAACACTATTGGGAATGGTATTTAAGGCTTGGCTTTCTCACTTCCTTGTTGAGTGATAGAGAACAAAGGGGACTCTCGCGCACCGCCGCCGCCGTCTCCCGTCTCGGCTCGTGGTTGTGGTCGTGGTAATACGTGTCTTCGACACGTCCGTGCGGATACTATCTTTTTAGAGAAAATTCTTGAGGAATTTCTCTTTGAAAGAAACAAATGGAAAATGTGAAAGATTTCAACTGATATTTATGGGCTGTTGAGGACTGTTTAAATTTCAAATGATAACAGCTAATTTATGAGTTATCAGAAATTAAACAGCTTTTTCCTAAATTAAATCAAAAACGTTAAGATGTATCTGGACTGATTTCCAGCTTTGTATAGAGGAGACAAGCTGTTAATATCAGGAGTTATTTGATTTAATTCCAGGGGTTACATGATATAATTTCAGGAGTTATAACAGCTGAATAATGATGCAATGAACATGGACTATTTTTGAGTCAGGTTCATCTAAACGTTTCAGCTGTTACAAAAGAAGAGATTTAATCCTGAAATTTTATGGACGATATTAACCCTATTTCTAGCCTATAAATAGAGAGCTATATTCAGCTTCTCAACTCATTCTCAAACATTCACAATTCACTTACAAAAGTGTTTTCGAAAGTTCTCTCTGTGAGTTCTCTCTGAGTGTTTTCCAATCAGAAGGGAAATACCACCAGTAGTCCACTCCGGTTTCGGGTGTACGGAATTCGGAGCGACCATGTTCACCTCGGGGGACGGTCTGCCTACTGCAGCGATTACACACATCGGGGCGAATTCGTTTCTAAGGCAGTGGTTTTTGCCACAACACGGTTTACGAATTTGTTCCTTTTAATTACTGTTTATATTTCCAGTCAGTGCTAACGGTGTAGTTTTGCAATTCATATATCCAACAATTTAGAAACGAATTCCATATACTACAATCATGACAACACCTTTGAGCAAACTAATCCTCGATCTCTCCAAGCTCGATGCACTTGATGAAAAGAATTATAGAAGGTGGTCCCAAAGAATCCTGATATTCTTCGAGCAGCTTGATCTTGACTACATGCTGCTCAAGCCACCACCTACCATGCAGCCAACCCCAGCTGCCGGTAATGATATGGATGTGGTCCTCAATGATGATGCCTTACCAACTGCCGCCGCTGCTCTCGCTATCTACGAGAAATACGAGAAAGACAACAAGACGGTGCGAGGACATCTGCTCAGCCACATGTCAAATAAACTATTTGATATGTTCCTTAGAGAAAAGAGTGCCAAGGAAATATGGGACACTCTCGACAAAAAGTATGGCGCGGACGATGCGGGCATCAAGAAGTATGTTATTGGCGAATGGCTCAAATTCCAGATGACTGACGAAAAGCCAATAATGGATCAACTCCATGACTATGAGAACTTAGTCGCTGACATCATCGCTGAAGGGATGCAAATGTGTGAGGTGCTGCAAGCCAATGTACTCATTGAGAAGCTGCCCAAGTTCTGGTCCTACTACCGTAACTCTCTTAAGCATAAGAAGAGAGACATTTTGCTTGAAGAACTTGTGGGCCATATGAAGATTGAAGAAGCCAACAGTTTAAAAGATAAGCTTACTAATTCTATGAGTAATTTATCTTTTAAAGCTAACTTGGTTGAGTCTAAATTTAAGAAGATTATGAAACGTGGGAATCAAGACAAGAAGACGAAACCACAGAAGGCTACCAACTTCAAGAAGTCAGGAAAGGCCAAACCGAAAGAAAAGACGTTCAAGTGTTATGTCTGCGGTTTACCCGGCCACAAAGCTTACCAATGCCAACACCACTCAGACTGCCAGAATGAAAACAAGCCACAGATGCACGTTGTAAAAGAATATGATGAGATCATTGTTGCGGTTGTCTCAGAAGTTAATCTGGTGGAGAATAGTTCAGAATGGGTCGTTGACACTGGTGCTTTGAAGTATTTCTGCGCAAGGAAGGAGTTTTTCACCGAGTTCGAGGATGGGAACACTGGTGAACGTGTGTACATGGGGAACTCTAGCAGTTCTGAAGTGCTAGGCAAAGGCAAGGTTTTACTCAAGCTAACTTCTGGTAAAACTCTGGCTTTAAATAATGTTCTGTATGTACCTGCCTTGCGTAGAAATTTGATAAGTGGTGGGCTTCTGAATAAGGCAGACATTAAGTTAGTTTTTGAGGCAGATAAACTTGTACTTTCCCGAAATGGTGATTATGTGGGGAAAGAGTTTTTAAGCAATGGTTTATTTATCATAGAAACTCAATTTAATGAAAATAAAGCTACCACTTCTACTTATATTGTTGAATCCATTTATATGTGGCATGCTAGATTAGGACATGTGAATATTCATGCTTTAAAGAAAATAATGAATATGAATGTTCTGCCTAAACTAGACACAACTAGCTTTAACAAATGTGAGATTTGTGTAGAAGCTAAGCATACTAGACCTCACTTTAAGACTGTTTCTATTAGAAAGACTGAACTGTTAGAACTCATTCATACTGATCTAGCAGATTTTAGAAACACTGAAAGTAAAGGAGGAAAACACTACTACATAACTTTTGTAGATGATTATTCAAGATATACAAAAGTTTATCTCCTAAGAACTAAAGATGAAGCTGAAAACATCTTTCTTATTTATAAGGCAGAAGTAGAAAATCAGTTAGATAGGAGAATCAACGGGTTAGATCTGATAGTGGTGGTAAATATGGATCTAATTTCTTAAAAGATATTTGTGAAAAGAATTGCATAATTCATGAAACTTCAGCCCCCTATTTTCCTCAACAGAATGGTATAGCCGAAAGGAAAAATAGAACTTTAAAAGAGATGAATTATTTACTAAAAAGTTCAGGGTTATCTGATAACATGTGGGGGAAGCCATTATATCGGCAACTCATATCTTGAACCGAGTTCCTCATAAGAAATTAGATTCTACCCCCATATGAATTGTGGAAAGGATACGCTCCTAATTTACAATACCTAAAAGTGTGGGGGTGTCTGGCCAAAGTGGGTTTGCCAGACTTTAAGAAGTCCACCATCGGACCTAAAACTGTTGATGCAGTGTTTATAGGGTATCCTACGAATAATGCTGCATACAGATTCATGTTTTTACAAGATTATTCTATTTGTGAGTCAAGGGATGCTGTTTTCTTTGAAAATAATTTTCCTTTAAA